GGAACGGAAGGGAAGAGTTGAAAGGAAGGGGAAGAACTTACGAACGGGATGAAAAAGAATTGAAACGAAAGGAAGGAAGTAACGAATGGAAGGGAAGAGTTGCAACGAAAGGATTTTGTAGTGAAAAACGGGTCGCCGTGAAAAATCATGATTCTCTACTAAATGGTTTCTGGAAATTTCACCTCAAAATCTTTGGTTCCCTTTCCGGCCCCAGGTCAAAACATTTGCCGAACACAAGTAAATACAACCTTGGGATTTCCATCGGGTTCAAGAATTGGCCTTTTAAGAGGTTTTCTACTACGATGCTCAAAGCTATGGGGCAAAAAAACAATCGAACCGCACAACTTCAAATTCAATTAATCGGTTTTGAAACCAAATCGGTCCTTTCCTTCTCAAAGTCTTTACGTAAAAAAATGTTTTTCGAACTTTTTGGCCTTATCTAGAGGGGGACGCAGTAGGTTCTACAAAAAGCTGTGCGTGCATGTGTCACTACAAAATGCAGTGCATGACAAAAGTCATCCAGAAACTAGGACATCACGCATCGAATTTGTGCTTTGTGGGTGAAAGGAAGTCCGATCATGGATGCTTTGCACTTGGGTGAAACTTAACTTTTTGACTCGGACAAAAAGAGCAGGAACCTGGTCGAATGGGATGCATTTAAATTTTTTAATTAATAACCGCATGTAATGGCGAAAAAAGGTGTGACAAAAGCACGGCGCAGAGATTTTGAACTGCAATCGTCAGAGCTATGGGGCAACAAAAAGGATCTAAGCGGACAATTTCAAATTCAATTGATCGGTTTTGAAACCAAATCTGTCCTTTCCTTCTCAAAGTCTCTACATTAAAAAAAATGTTTTTCGAACTTTTTGGGGTTTATCTGGAGGGGAACGCTGTGGGTTCTACAAAAAGTTGTGCACGCGTGTGTTGCGTGGCAGAGTGGCTGAGTGGCTGCTCCAGCCACTCTGGCAGAGTGGCAGGGGGGTTGAGTGGCTGCGCCAGCCACTCTGGCAGAGTGGCAGGGTGGCTGAGTGGCTGAGTGGCTGCGTCAGCCACTCTGGCAGAGCGGCTGACTGGCTGAGTGGCTGCGGCAGAGTCATCAATCAATGAAATGGATAAAAAAATTAAACATTTCAATATCCCAGCCATATACTATTATTATTATTCTTATTCTTATTCTTATTATTTATTATTATCATTATTATTATTGTTATTACTATTATTGTTATTACTATTCTTATTCTTATTCTTATTATTCTTATTATTTATTATTATCATTATTATTATTGTTATTACTATTATTGTTATTACCATTATTATCATTATTATTATCATTATTATTATTATTATATATAATATACGTGTATATATATATGATATTGACAGCAACTTGATTTACAAACATAACCTTGTAAACTTCAAAAAAAAAATCAACTGCCAGAGCTACATAACTTCAACGGATTGATTAAGAACAACCACATACAGTATACACTTTGAAACATAACCTGGCATCACTTAAAAAGAAAGAGAGTGGTGTTGAACTCTGCAAGTTCAGGATTGGAAACAGCTATTACATCAACAACAGGGAAGAACCTCCTAAATACAAACTGATTGATGGTACCGATGATGTGATGAGTTTAAAGGATCAAGAGGAATACAAAGTAAATTTAAAAGACAATGATTTGGACAAAGCAATTTATGAAATGAAAAGAGCAGGATATGAACCACAGGTTAGGCACACAGCAGGTAGGGCAGTAGAAACCAAGTTTGATTTAACACGCAACATAGGCAAGAAACAGAAAACGGTAACTTACAGCATTGTAACACAGCACCTTGACCATGATAGAACCAATGATGATATCTTGGTGGAAACAGAGGAAAAATACAACAAAATCAGCACGACAATGTTCAAGTTTCATAAGTAATTTTCAGTGAACATCATAAGTCATACTATAACGAAGCTGACCTTAAAACATTGGATGAATGCACTACCATTGTTCCTAATGCAGTACCATTGTTCCTAATGGAAGGTTGTTAAAGGCAAAAAAATATGATAGCAAGGGCTATGAACTTGTCCTTGCCCCTGAAGATATGTGTAGCATCGACACACGGAAAGCCTACTCATACCAAGCAACAAAGATTACACACATTCCAGTGTTCAAAGAGTTTGATGTATGGAAACAATACACCAGAAAAAATGATTGTACCAAATTCAATAACTACACCTTGTTCATAGTGAGGGCATGTCAGGGCAACGTGTTTTTCAACAAAAAAATAATATGGTGTATGTGAAGCACCCGAAGGAATTGATTAGGAGAGGGGTGGCAATGAAGATACTATTTTACAAAATGCCTTCATACATTCACAGAGTGAAGTATAAGAAAACAGTTGAAGATTTATATAAAACAGTGATCAGTGATGACAAATTTGAGAAGGAAACAATATTGAAAACTATTGCTAATGTAGCCTTTGGTTTGCTTGAGAAGTCTTACAATAGAAAAACGGTCAGTAGGAGTTTTGATAATCTTAAGGAGGCATTACAGCACCAGAAAAAATATGATGGGAGGATTTACGTAATGAACGAAGAAGACTATGAGGAATATTATAGATGGAAAACATTGGAATAAAATTGGACTATCGAAGTTGATGAGAATATTTTTTTTTTCAAAAAACATGTGAATGGCGGTGCATGTTATACAGATTTTGATTATAAAGTCGAGGATGGCAAAACCTGCTACTGTGAAAATGATTCATTCAACCAAAAGAAAAAAAAAAACAAAACCGCCAAATATTATAGTCAGTGTCAGTGACCAAAGGCAGTTGATGAACGGATTTAAGTATATCAAAGAGCTACTGTTACAAAATTATAACTTTCATATGTATGATGCATATGAGAAGTTGAAGGAGGCAGACATCAATGTTTACGCTGTAAAGACTGATGCATGTCACATAGCAAAGAGGGATGTAAAGAAAACTAGAAAGATATTGAATTTTCATAATGACATAGGAGGCTGGAGAGTGGAAGATAAGAAAGTGGTTCCTGTTCCCGAAGTTTATGGATGGAAAAACAACGAGATTCCAAAAATACCGATTTACAAAAGCGAAAGGATTGAGGTTCAAAATGAATGGGACACAGAAGTAATTTGGAAAACAGCAATAAGGAAGAAGAGAATCGTGACCAGGGCAAAATTGGCAGGAAGTGGTAAGAGTTTCAATGGACAACATTTCAACGACCTAAGTTGTAATACACTTTTTGTTGTTCCTCAAAATATGCAAAAGCAAGATGTTCCATGCGATGCAGTCACCCAGAAAACATTCTTCAGCGTTCCTGTGTGCAGGGGGAAAGCAGGCTACCAAAGTATATGACAGCGGTTATGATGTTTTTTTTGATGAAATCCATATGTCAAGTCCTTATATCTTGAATAAGGTAAGAGCTTTCTGCAATGAAAACCCTCATTTGATTGTAATAGGTGCGGGTGATGCCAAACAATTTCCAAACATAGAGCCCTTCACCAACAACCAAAATGGAGAGGACTATGTTGACAATTGCGTTGACATAATTTTCAAATACAATATTTTTTTTTGCAAATATGCATAAGAGTGGGAGGAAACGATACAGAAGAGGGAGAAAGGAATAGAAACAAATTAAATGAAATCTATGATGATTTTTGGGAAAAATTGGAGTGGAAATTGTGGATTGAAAAGAATTTTAGATATACAAAGGATGTAATGACAAGTAAGAATAACATAGCATACACTAACATAAGGTGCCAAGCAGTAGCAAAAGAGGTAAGGAAGAAATTAAACAAAAAAATAAATATGAACTTGGCGAGATTTTAATATGCAGGGTTTACAAAAAGGACGAAGAGGGTAAATTGAATGTAAACATAAGGTGGGAGGTTGTAGAAGTGGAGTGAGTTAAAAACTTCACCGTATATCACACAATTTTTTTTGGGTCACAAAATTGTGGCTACCAAGATCCAGGGCAGGGAACTCACTGAAGAATGGATTGCCGTGCAGTCCTTGGTCGCATCTGCGCAGAACATTGAAAAATGGAAATTGGGACAATTCCACATGTTCGCCCTTTGTTGTGGGCGAGCATCTGGACATTTTGGGAGAAGGACCATGAAGGATACTTTACAAAAAAACAACATATCAGTCTGCAGTCCGCATGTTTTCGTATGGTTCCCCGGTTTTGGAACGAAAATCAACATGTGACCTCAGAAAACAATAGGTTTTGCACCACCACCTCCTGCTGATTGCGTTTCGATTTTCGCCCCCTTTTTCATAGACAAAAAATAACACTTATGACTTATGACAATTTTTGCATATTTCCAAATATTTTGCGGTCTGTTTGCGGAGGGCCTGGAACAATGTGCGCTTCATTCTTTTGAACCTGACAATTTGACAACATACAAGAGCTCACTTGGGCCCCGATATTTTGTGGTCTTGAAAAGAACATGAAACAAACTGCGCAACAACCGTCCTGCTTTGCATAGAATGTTGGCAATTCTGCCCGCACATCCTTGTGCCGGGTGTTTTGTCCAATTTTCATCAATTTTCAATTTTATTCGCAAATTAGCGGCGGTGCCTATTTTTCCCAGTTCCCCCCGGGAAAGACACTTGAACGGACAGTGTTCCAGATGTTTGCAACAACTGTTCATTTGCAGTGACATGATATGTGACCGTGCGGTATGTATGGTATGTGTTTCGGCCTAAGAGGCGTATTTTGGAGAGAATGGTCATGCAACATGTCAAAACACCAACCAAATTTGCTGACTGACACAATGACCAAAACACATTCAAGTGTCACATGCTTGCATACGCTCAGAAGGTTTCGTTGTTGAACATCAAATTTGTAAAAAAATACTGTTCTTAAGGGTCCAATCCCATGTGTAGGTTCTAGTTTTTTCCTTGGCCGGGCGAATGATCCCTTGGCCATGGACTTCTCAGGTTCCGGCCCTCTGACGTCCCAGGTGCGGCAGCTGCTGCAAGATGGCCCGATGTTTCAATTCCTGTGCCAGCGCAGCTTCCACAACCATGCCGTGGACGGGGCTGTGACCCTGCCAGCGGTCGCTCCAATGGTGGAGGGTGTGATGAAATCTTTAGGCCGCCCGGTTTCGCCCGGAGAAGTCTATCGGGTGTGGAATGAACATTGTGATCCTGACATGCACCACATGTCGTTGGCGCACTTCGAACCTTTTCTGCGTGCTTTGCTGCAGGATTACCTGCAAAACGCAGATGTGCAAGCCGAGGACCATCGCCGCCTCGCAGTGACCCGACCGCTGCTGGAGAGCACTGGGTACCCGGAGATGGCCACGCTACGCAATGAGGAGCCGCAAAGCATTCGGGACCAGGAAGTGGTGCCCAGTCCCAATGCGCCACAATCTCCACCGCCGGCACCAGCGCCTGCCATGGAGGAAACACCCAGCCAGGAGCCAACACAACAGGCGAAGCAGCCGCAACAGCCGCAACAGCCGCTGCAAGGCGAACAAACCCAACCAACCCAACCAACCCAACCAACCCAACCAACCCAACCAACCCAACCAACCCAACCAACCCAACCAACCCAACAAACCCAACAAACACAACATCCCACTCCTCAGAGGGGTCGGAAAACCACACCCCCGCCGAAAGCTAAAGCAGATCCAAAACCTTTGAAAGATGCAGCAATTGCAAAAGCAAAACGGCCAACGACACCACAAAATAGCAGCAGATCAAGCAGCAAACCGCCAGCTCCACCCATTCAAATGCAAAGCAAACCACCTTCTTTCCTCAAAGATGCGTTGGATGAAGCCCATGGTCACTTAGTGCCCGAGACCAAGGAACTGCTCCCACAAGAGGAGCTCTCAAATGAAGAGCTGGATCACCAGCAGCCAGAAAGCCCTGGTGTTTTTGCCTCCGCTAGCGAAGCCTTGAGTCGGTTGGAAAGCATTTGCCAGGAACTGGGGGAGACTTTTTTTCTGGACCCAGATTTCGGTCCCACATCCGCGGACCCCACTGGAAAGAAGTCCTTACTTTCAGATGGAAGCCTTCCTGCAGAGGCGTTTCAAAAATTTCCGGGCCATGAGCAGGTGGCTTGGCACAGGCCATGTGAAGCATGGTCCAACAAACATCACTTTTGTGGTGAGTTTGCGGATGTTCGAACTGGAGTCTTTGGCAACGCTTGGTTTGTGGGGGCTTTGTGCTCGCTGTCCATGAGTGAGGACGAACTTTTCGGGCGCCCATCCGGATATGAAGAGCCTCTGGGGGTTTATCCAAGAGTGTTTTGGGACTCAGAATTCCGACGGAGAGGCTTGTACTGCTTCAAGTTCTCCAAGCAGGGCCAATGGAAATATGTCGTAGTTGATGACCGTTTGCCCTTCCATCGCAAAACTTCCCAGCCGCTGTTCTCCCACGCTGTTGGAATCGATTCCACACCACACGTTTGGATTGCCCTGATCGAGAAGGCCTACGCCAAACTTCATGGCGCCTACTTTTCCCTGTGGCTGGGTTTCGTGGATGATGCGCTGGAAGACTTGACTGGATGGCCTGCAGAAAAGCTCCAGATCTCCAAGTTTGGCACAGCAGAGGGGAAGAAGGATCCAGCAGCCTTGTGGTCCACCCTTTCGGACCTCACAGGGAAGTCGATGAAGTTGATGATTTGTTTGCGGGCTGATGCAGGTGGATCAGATGGCGACTTGGTGCATATCGACCCTCGGAGCATCCGCTTGGATGCACGCCCTGAGGCAGACTCCTTCTGCACCGGGATCTTCCGCAACTGGGCCTATCCCATTGTCAGCCTGCGCCAGGCTCCGGGCACGGAGGCCTTGCAGTTCGTGCGGCTCAGATCCTTCACGGGAACTTGGCATGGCCCTTGGGGGGATCAGGACCTGAACTGGAGCCAAGTGTCTCCAGAGTTGGTGGAACAACTGCACAGCCCGCCACCACATGGAGCTAGCCTCGTGTTCGCATGCCAACTGGGACAACAGGAGGATGGAGTTCACCCATCTATGTTGCGACCCATCATGCCATTTCAAAGCAGGCCGGAAGACTTGGCAATGGCCCATGATGGAACTTTCTTCATGCGGTTCGAGGATTGGATGCAGGTTTACAGCCATGTTCTTCTTCGGCATCAGCTGAATGGATGGAGCCGCATGCGGCTTGAGGGCTCCTGGATGTCCCACACTTGTGGTGGGACTCCCATCCCAGTGATGCAACCAGTGCTTGCAACCTTGGACAGCTGGGCCAGGAACCCTCAGTGTCTTCTAAGTTTGGAGGCAGATTTCGATGTGGAGCTTTGTGTCACGCTTCATCAGTTCGATGCGCGATTGAACAGTGCCTCGCCTTTTCCATTTGAAGATCAGTTGCGGCAGATCTTCCTCTGCATCATGCACATGGACGGCTCTGAGCGGCTGACGGTCTTCGACAAGAAGCGGATTGTGCGACACAACGGGGCCAGTGCAGCCACCCCTTTGAGTCAAAGACGGTCAGTGCTACTGCAAACCCAGCTGAAGAGCCCGGGACGCTACGCCATTGTACCCTCCATTTGGGAGCCTGAGTTGCCAAAGGGCTCTCAAGCTGCTTGGATGGCAGGATGATGCTGTTGTTTTGGGTGCACCCCCCTTGTGGGTGCCCTACGGTTCATGAAGAGATAAGCGACGGGTGGTTTATTTTGGGATGGTTGCTCAACCACTGGATTTTTACATGGATTGCCGTAGGGAGTGTCATTGCGTTGAAATCAGTGTTCTGGTTTCTCAATGAGATTCTTGCTGATCGCACCTTGAAGACATTGATGCTATCCAATACCTGGGCACCATGGGTAGGTTCATCACGCTGCCGCTCACTTTTGGTACGGTATAGTATGTTATTAGGCGGGGATATCATGTCATATGCACAGCCAGTCAACCCACCAAAAGAATCCCAAAGATAGGGCAGTTTGGTGTTCCAAACCCTTACAGCTGGAGTACAGTTTGGTGTTCGCAACTTGTCGCGAATTGTAAGCTTAGTCCCTGATCTCCACTCAATTTTTGTTGGATTACCTGCTTGCTTGAAGGTGTTTCATGATCGCATGGACCATAATGACATCCTTTGAAAATTCTCCGTGCATCACGGCATTCCTTTTTTGGAACTGAGGTTCCCTTTGTCTTGACGTTGCACCTGAATTGTGACGCCGAGAAGTTCTTTGTTGAAGCATCGGAGGCAGAAGGATGGGGTGCCAATGCAAAAAGAAGGGACATGTCTTTTGCGGCTTTGTTGAGTTGAGATTACTGGCATGATAATATTTGTGACCAATGGTTTGGCGGGATGACTAGATTTTTCTAATATCCATTAGGAGTCGTTATATATAACTAACTGATTTTTGAGATGTGGCGATGTCACCTTGGAAAGCTGAATTGGACATCTTGAACGACAATTTTCCAAACCGGGTCTTGCTGATTCCACTTTGGATTTCAGTAAAGTCACTGACAGATGGTCGCGTGTGACACATATACATGCTACATACACAGGTCACTGACCTCCTAAAATCGCTTGCTTTCAGCCAGGAAAAATCCAACGTCTGAATTTCCAGGTTTCTTCCTGAGGCCTCCCTGGATTTTTTGGATCTTGGCTCAGTTTCCACGGAGCCAAAGGGGTCCGTGGCCATGTCGGATGCCGATGTCTCACCAGACGCAGGGGTCTCCCAGGAGGTTCCGCCCAAAGCCAGCGATTACGCCCAGGGCTATGCAGCTCGGACCTTCAGGAACTGACCAAGCCAACATGGCAATGTTTATAAGTTTATATAATATGACAATGATGAACATGTGCCAATTTTTGGGGAATAAAACATCCTCCTTGAAGTTACGAGTACCAAATGAAGGGCCTAGTGACCTCCTTTTTAGGAGGCATTTCGTACACTTTTGAAGGCATTTTGTACATATTTTAGCTCGTTTTTTTGTCCATAGACATTTTGTACAGGGTATTTTGGCTTCAAGCACCTCATTTGGAACACCCTACAAAGACCCATTTTGTACACAAATTAACGTCGAAATACGTCGAATCAACAATCCCCATTTTGTACAGAGATTGCATCTGGGGGTTTGGGCAAACCACTTTGTACACATCCAAATCATTCCAAATCGACATGGTGAGCCTCATTTCGTACAGGAACCATATTTTTTTCAGCACCCTGTAGGTGTACAAAATGGCACTCCCAGTTTTGTGGACTTTGTGACGGCAACTTTCCAACAGGGGTCCCCTACCATTACATGTGTTCCCAATAAGTTTATATTCATAGCATTTACGTGTTTGTGGCCCTCAGATAGCACATGGACTGTACATGACTGTACAAAATCGTACTTTAGGTGGTTGACATGGTGACCTTGGTCTCTCCAAAATGTACAAGGGGTGTGTACAGAATCAGGGCATTTGTTGGAGTTGAAATGGTATTGGTGCCATGTCATTATGTACAGAAATCATCCAAAAAGTTGTTCATGTGAGCTCTTTCTGTGCCTGGGGTTGGTAACCACTATTTTGTATTCAACAAATGTTAAAAATACCTTGTGCACCATCATTCTGTAAGCTGTTTCTGTACCAAATCAGGGGGCATTTCCCCCAGGCTAAATTCCAAGGGGGATAATCAAACAATATATGATATAGACATACTATGTTTCGGGGGTATCTTGGAGGGTCAAGTCAGGTTTCAGCATGTGAAGGGTGTGGGTAACGTTCGAACATTATACCAGTAGTACCCGCACGAGGCGGGGCGGAAGTTGCCTTAAAGATATATATAAGACCTTTCTCATCTATAGAACTTGCCTGCGCCGTGCGCCAGCCAAGCCGGTGCGTGCGTGCACTCTGCGAAACTGATGTCTTGTTTCACATGTCACATTTGAAGCTCCACGTCACACTTCACACTTGACAGTCTCCACACTCCACACTACACACTGCACTCTTCACACTGCACTCTGCGCACTGCGCACTCCACACTTCACACTTCACACTCCACACTTCACACTCCACACTTCACACTGCACGCTTCCCACTGCACACTCCACACTTCACACTTCACACTCCACACTTCACACTTCACAGTCCATACTTCACACTTCACACTCCACACTTCACAGTCCACACTTCACACTTCACACTCCACACTTCACACTGCACTCTTCACGCCCCACACTTCACACTGCACTCTTCACACTCCACACTTCACCTCATCTGAGCTCTTCTCACCTTATCCCAGCTCATCTCTTCTCATCTCATCTCTTCTCATATGTCACCTAAGCTTTCATGAATCACTTCCCAGTACTACTACCAAGGAACTTGCATGCGCCGTGCGCCAGCCAGGCCCGTGCGTGCGTGCTTTGTGCGAAGCTGTTGCAGTGTTGCTGTCCAAGAACATGACCTGCGCGCGACCCCGGTAGAATGCAAACACTTTCCTCACACTTCACATTGCACCAAAATTGAGAAAATCTGCTGACAAATCACTTTCGCAGCCTTGATGCAGCCATTCCAACACGATTTACGATCTTCAGCTGCAAAAGACAATAGTATTACGCATGCAGCCGCTGCACCAAGCAACCTTGACGCAGCCACTACAATGCGATCTGCAGAGACTGAGTTGCAAAGCACAATAGAACTACGTGCAATGGCGTCGGAAATTGCAGCTCCAAAACCGGATCTCGACGCCAAAGCGACAAAAAGACGATTTTGAAGCGAAAAGGAATTTTAAAAGGAAAATTATTAGCGCCAAAATTGAGAAAATCTGCTGACAAATCACTTTCGCAGCCTTGATGCAGCCGTTCCAATACGATTTACGATCTTCAGCTGCAAAAGACAATAGTATTACGCATGCAGCCGCTGCACCAAGCAACCTTGACGCAGCCACTACAATGCGATCTGCAGAGACTGAGTTGCAAAACACAATAGAACTACGTGCAATGGCGTCGGAAATTGCAGCTCCAAAACCGGATCTCGACGCCAAAGCGACAAAAAGACGATTTTGAAGCACTTTTTAAAAGGAATTTTAAAAGGAAAATTATTAGCGCCAAAATTGAGAAAATCTGCTGACAATTCACTTTCGCAGCCTTGATGCAGCCATTCCAATACGATTTACGATCTTCAGCTGCAAAAGACAATAGTATTACGCATGCAGCCGCTGCACCAAGCAACCTTGACGCAGCCACTACAATGCGATCTGCAGAGACTGAGTTGCAAAACACAATAGAACTACGTGCAATGGCGTCGGAAATTGCAGCTCCAAAACCGGATCTCGACGCCAAAGCGACAAAAAGACGATTTTGAAGCACTTTTTAAAAGGAATTTTAAAAGGAAAATTATTAGCGCCAAAATTGAGAAAATCTGCTGACAAATCACTTTCGCAGCCTTGATGCAGCCATTCCAATACGATTTACGATCTTCAGCTGCAAAAGACAATAGTATTGCGCATGCAGCCGCAGCACCGAGCAACCTTGACCCAGCCACTACAATGCGTGTCGCAGCATCCCGTAGCAAACCTGCACCTATCTACGGACGTGGCAACATCAAATGACGACAATGAAGCAGCCATTCCAGTGCAATCTGCAACTAGAGATTCAAGAACCGCATGGAACTACGCACGCAGACACAACCACTCGTTGCAAAACACATAGGAGGAACAATTCGCGCACAAAACGACCGCAGCCGCACCCGTCGCACAGACGAGGTACCTTTCATCGTCGGCTGCTGCCACTTTACACGGAAAAACGCAAGGTTTGGTGCTCCGGCTTCCTCCCCAAAACATAGCCCATGCAACATTCATGCAGCCATTACAATGCGTTTCGCAACATCCCGTGGCAAACCCGCACCTATCTACGCACGTGGCAACATCAAATGACGACAATGAAGCAGCGATTCCAATGCAATCTGCAACCAGAGATTCAAGAACCGCATAGAACTACGCACACAGGAACAACCACTCGTTGCAAAACACATAGGAGGAACAATTCGCGACAGAAACGACCGCAGCCGCAACCGCCGCACAGACGAGGTACCTTTCATCGCCGGCTGCAGCCACTTTACGCGGAAAAACGCAAGGTTTCGTGCTCCGGCTTCCTCCCCAACACAAAGCCCGTGCAACATTCATGCAGCCATTCCAATGCGATCTGCCACCACAGCGTCAAGAAACGCATAGAACTACACACACAGGAACAACCACTCGTTGCAAAACACATAGGAGGAACAATTCGCGACAGAAACGACCGCAGCCGCAACCGCCGCACAGACGAGGTACCTTTCATCGCCGGCTGCAGCCACTTTACACGGAAAAATGCAAGGTTTCGTGCTCCGGCTTCCTCCCCAAAACATAGCCCATGCAACAGTCATGCAGCCATTCCAATGCGATCCGCACTCCCCTTCCTCACCACTCCCCTTCCTCACCACTTCCCTTCGTCACCACTCCCCTTCCTCACCACTTCCCTTCGTCACCACTTCCCTTCGTCACCACTTCCCTTCGTCACCGCTTCCCTTCGTCACCACTTCCCTTCGTCACCACTTCCCTTCGTCACCAATCCCTTTGTGATGTATTATTATGTAATGTACAGTCGCGCACCACCCTTCATCAAGGTCGATCCTTTTGTGATGTATTGTTATGTAATGCAAAGTCTCACACCACCCTTCATCAAGGTCAATCTTTTTGTTATGTATTGTTATGTAATGTAATGTCTCACACCACCCTTCATCAAGGTCAATTCTTTTCTGATGTATTGTTATGTCATGTAAAGTCTCACACCACCCTTCATCAAGGTCAATCTCTCAATCGCGCACCACCCTTCATCATTTCAAGTCTCAGAATTCTATTTGTCCGTAACACGGAAGTATTGCTTCCCAACTTCCTTTGATAATTGAATAGTATTCAATATTTATACTATATATATTTACAAATCATTCATCCAGTCGAACTCTAACCAAAATGGTTTAGAGTACGGCCTTTTTTGGAAGGTCCCAAATTTTGGCGACATTGTCATAGGTTTTGGATGGCTGAGCTATGGGTACCATCGGCGGGCCTCAGGTAGGGTACATCTATGAAGATGCCTTCAGGGAACTTTACGCGGAGAAATCTGTTGAAGCCGAACCTGACCCAGCAGAAGCAGCTCCTGAGGGTCCGGCGCAAAGTTGCATCAGGGATGTGGGTCGTATTTCTACTGGAGCATGGTCAAACCGAATATTGTAGTTACTTTCATAAATGAGGCGGCTCCAGACTGGGGGAAAAAATTGAGTAGGGGATCGTAAGGGTCTAATACCTTACATGTGTCGATTGTTTTTGAGTACTTCAGTGGTATGACATGAATGGCAAGTGTTTTAGCCACTTCGCATGAGACCTACTCCCGGTGATGAAAGTCAAGGCGTTTTGAGTTTTTGTAGCCTCCAGGTGCAGTTTTTGTACCATCCTGACTCCCAACCAATGCTTCCAGGGTGCGCTGAGGTGTGGAAGATCCATCAGCTGCAACTGGACCTTTTGTACGGGATGATGGCGAGATCGATCTCAACAAGGAGCTAGCGAAGCCAAACCAGCATGGCCGCATGGCCCATGTTCTGAGGATGCCTTGATATGTATGCTGAGTATATCTGAGTTGACTGTCATATAAATAATTATATATATATATGTATATATATGTATGTATGTATGTATGTATACATGAAACTAGCTTGAGATGAGGGAACTCCTATGCCGCGTGGACTACCTTGAAAGATTTGCTTGAATTATTTTTGCTCAACGAGGGCCCCTTTGAGAGCCGAAAGAGAGCTGCACCATGTTAATTCACTCAGATACGATGATGTGTATTATGCATATACTGTAAATAAATAGATAAATAAAATAAATAAATAAATAAATAAATATATATATATGCATATATATATAAAGTATATGTATGTGTATCCGTACCTGTATATTCTGTATCTGTATATGTATAGCGAAAAAAACACTGTGACTCCAAACATGTGAAGCCCTCGCTTGCAGGAGGCAGATGAGATCAAGGCCATTCAGGAGCAGGTGGGCATCGCTTCCACTTCCATGACATGATTACGGAGGTTTTAATGGGAAAATATGTGAAAATCATCTATAAATGGAAATGGTATGAAAATGGTGGATTTTCAATTGCAATGTTTCATTACAGATGATTCTCAATACAGGTTATTTCATTTTTAAAATTGAAAACCCACCATTTCATTACAGAACAAATTCAATTGCAGATTATTAGACATTAAACCATACTGGTTTGGGATACTTCTTGACGCAGCCCAGATTGACGCCCTAGCGGAAATATCAATCTAGGGGGGTTCTTAGGTTATAGCTGGATGACTGAATCTGAAGCAAGCCTGGCTTATTTAGCAACAAGCAATCCAACGTCTGATTGGCGCTTTTCATTTTCTCTTGAGTTCCTTCTGGGCCCGGCTGCGCCGTGGCGTTTCGCCAGGTGGTCTCAGAGGAGGAACGGCTTCAACGGATCCAGCAGCTGCTCCATAGCAAGATTGATGAAGCCAGGGAGGGCGACCAGCAGGCGCTGCTGACAGATGAGGGCTGAAGTGGCTGAAGGGACTGAGAAACTCGAAATAGATGCGGATGATGGGGATGTGTTTTTCCCCCAAATTGGTGGATGGTGATGCCCATGATTTTGATGATGGCAGAACCAATTTTCTGCTAGGCAGCAGTGACAATTTGTGATGTTTCTTGTTTGCTCCGTACTTTTCCACCCAACAGCCAACGATCACTTTGGATGATTCATCGGAAATGGGCTGATAGGGCCATACCCCAATGTCACTAGCACCGCCAGGAAGCCCAAGAGCTTCTGGAGCACTGGGGTTTGGTGATGCGGGAGCAGCTCCCTGTGCCGGAGAGCCACTGGGCAAAATGGGGGATACTCTGTGATACATAAGTTTCTAGCAATTTCCATGGGGAACGTGAGCTTTTAAATCATGGGATTTTGGGGTGTCCAATTTTGAGACATACCCCAATGATCCCCAATGGGAAGATTTAGATGTTGCTTCAAGCCAATCTAATGGTGGAGATGATGAGTTACGGTAGGGATAGAGAATGATAGAGCAATACTCGTAGCTGGCAAGCAGATGGACAGAAATATCATGACATATAGAATAGCTAAACTTTATCAGTATGTGTCAGTACTATAGGTGTATATACATATATATATATATTATGTATATATATATATAGCCAGCCAATCTGTTGGGGTGAGCAATCTGGACGAGCCGAGGCAAGCTGAAGCAGATGTTAGATCGTGATCAGTTAGAGCGCGAGCAGCTCATAGTGCCGTCACGAGCTGAGAAACAGTGAAGAAGCACAAGCAGATGGAGAGAATGAGATTTCAGTATTGATTGATACAACCAGTATATCGTGGGGATCTAGCCAATCATCAGTGGTGCCATCACTCTCCAAAAGTGAAGTAAATTGTCAAATTGAGGGAGATAGAAACAATCACACCAACAGCGGACAAATCCTGGTGGACATCAACCAAAATTCTGGAGGGACATTTTGGATCATTTTTTGGGATGTTTAGATTTGGGGCAGCCATGGATACAGATTCAACTGGCCCTTAATATACAAGGGCCGTGCACCCACTGTGTTGCCTGGGACACCACATCCTTATGTTTTCCCCTTGCACGCGCAAAGTTCGTACTGCCAAGGCGCGGTATGATGGAAGACATGGAGAGATACTACGACATAAAGAAGGGCACCATCCCTCAGCATGACAATTTGTTGGCGATTTCCAAGCCAGAGGACCCTTAGATTTAATGTCAGTTGGCCAGAGTTTGAGTCATCAAAGAATGCTCTTCTCCCTTGGAACCACAGGGCAGCTTTGTTCCCCAACAGCGGAAGGTAACGGGATCTTCAGCCCAGAATAGCTCCAGTGTGCACTGGTGCAGGCGCCAGGTCAGGTTCAACGAGGTTCCGGAGAAGGTTCCGAAGGTTCGGTGCAGAGCCAGGTGAGGTTCAACAGGGTTCCGGAGAAGGTTCCGGTGAAGGTCCAGGAGGCTTAAGTGTGAGGTTCAACAGGGTTTCGGGACCCTAGTTGTCAATCAAACAATGGCTTGGCTTGACCAGCTTCAACCAGCTTCAACCAGCTTCAGCCAGCTTCAACCAGCTTCAGCCAGCTTCAACCAGCTTCAACCAGTTACAGTTACTGTAGCAGAATTAGCAAACTGCTTCGTTACCATTCGTTACCAAGTTGGTGGCCCGTTGAAGCCGTCGGGTGCAGTTGCACCTCCACGGCAGGAGCCGAATCATTTCAAGATGACAAGATCGCAGAAGCTCAGAGCAGATGCAATGCAGGCGTTGCGTGCTGCCCCGGTGCCCTCCAGACTGGGACTTCGAGGTGTTGATATGGATTAAATTGGATTAAAACGTATTAATGTTGTATGCTGAATAAGCAAGACTCTCTTTGGGGATTTCGCCAAATTCGACCCATCTTTTTGCGTCTTTTTCCTACCTTGCTCAAGTTCTCTTTTCGCTAGCTGCACATGGCGCGCACATCTTTCTTTGGGCGGTTATATGAAATTGGTTTGTTGAAGGTGAAGCCAACCCTCACTGAAGAGCAGAGAACTGCCATTGCTGGTGAGTTGGAGGAGACGATTGTGGGCTGTGGATGGCTGTGGACGGCTGTGCCGTGGGGTGTGGTGGTTTTCCGTTGAGTAAATCCGAGTGACAAAGTGATTCTGAGGATTTGAAACCAAAATCAAACCGAGAATTGCAGACAGCTATGGCAGCTATGAGCAGGAGCGGCTTCGCAAGCGGCCACGCATGCCAGCCGGGCTGAGTGCTGATCAGAAAGCCAAGAACCGGGAGATAGTGAAAAGGATGCAAATGAAGGCTGGTTGAACTCTGGGATGCCGCGTCCCGGCAGTTGGCAAGTTAGTCTAGGTATGTTTGTGCAGCATGTTGCCCCGAATTCAAGATAGATTTAGAAAGCAGCAGCATTGGGCATAATCCAACAATATCAAACAATCAAACCATGATTTAGTACCCCATGTTCCTTCGCCTTTCCAACTAGGATGTCTTGAGGATACACCAACGGGTTGTATGACTAAATCAGTTCCTAACGGTCCTAGCAGTCTTAGCTTGTGGCTTCATCCCAGAAGTGCTTTGAATTGGAACGTTGATGTGAGTGCCAGGTGAACTTCCTCAAGAATCCTCGCTTTCTTGCCGATCGAGGTGGCAAAGATAAGGGCGAACCTTGCCCCTTTTGGCTCCTCAGTTGACAGATGTCATGTCCCAGGCGATGTCACAATTATCGTGCTGTAATGCGTAGGATGGCTGGAAAAGCATAAGATTAAGAGGCAATCATTCCATCAATTTAGTTAGGATTGCTATGGCAGAGATTTGCAGAGCCCAAGACTGTTGAAGATACTTGCGGATCGAACTTCATGCCTTGGCTCTTCGCAATTCTTGGCACATCTTGGCACATCTTGGCACCTAGGTTCACACCAGATGTAGTTCTCTTTCGCAACTACGAGATAGGCGGACTCTATCAGATCCAGGCCCTGGCCCAGCAAGTAGCAAGACAGATGAAATGCGATGGAAGCGACATGAAGCGACCCCAAAACAACATAAAACAACCTCGGACGACCACGGGAGCATCGTTCCACACCAGCACAGAACCAGAGCCATCCGTGGCTTGATGTGGCTCGTTTATCTTTTTTGTTTGTCAGGTGGAGTTCCGCAATTGCACTGGAATTAGCAGACGACTTCGGGTTCTCCCTTGCAAAAGTGCGGCCTTTTCCATCAAAGAGCTGCACTACGACAAGGACCACGAGCCCAACATATGGAATACACTCTGGTAGATGAGATGATGATATATAAGGGCTTCGAAATGATATTGCTGGGACGGATTGAAGACGCAACCCCCCATGTGCAATCCTGCAGCGGCATGTGAGAGAAAACAACTTCTCACACTCACACTAAAGCATTCCCAACCTGCCTCTTTCGTGTGCTCACACCCACACCTATGCATGTTTGAACGGCATTAAACCGCCACAGTCTGGCATTCCTGATTCATCCTGATCCATTGAGGCAGTCTGGGACATGCATGGGTCAGAAACGTCCAGACATGTCCAGGCACATCCAGACGTAGATGTGGACACAGACACCCACAGAGCGCAATCATATGTCCACAAACTATCACAAACTGAGGACTTGGACTTACTGTACTTTTTTTTTTGGGGGGGGGAGATGGACAGAAATCAACAATTATGTTAAATACTGGTACGTATCTATGCATTTCATAGGATTATACACAAACCCGTTTTAGTGGAAACCATGGCCATGTCACACCAGTTCAAACATGTCACAACTATCGCCATCAAAAAGCCATAATGAAACCCAAATAAACTACAAGAATTTAAGAGTATATTCAGAGTATATTCAGAGTATATTCAGAGTCAAGTGCCGCAAGGGGATGATTTCTTTCTACCCCCCGGATTGGTGAGGAGCTGAACTCCCAGCGCCCCGAGCTGGTGGGCCTCGATCCGCTGGCAGCTGTGGTGGCCCCGGGCTTGGCGGCCCATCTGGTGGTGTGACCTGGCAGTGTCGGCGTCGGATGGTGTCGGTGGGGAAACAGCTGGGACATCCTGGGACCCGAATACCATCCTTTGCAGCTTTTGCTAAGTGCCGTTTGGATCCGTTTGGATCCATTGTATTCCGCTGTAGTTTTTGGACTAAAACATGGCGCCCAAGTGCTGCCAGGCAATTTGCACCCAGCACGCTGAATGATGAGAACGACTGCATCACAGTGTGCACGGAAATTGGTGACTTCGAGCTTCCGTTGTTGTCCAGAAGAGAGCAGCCAAGTCTGAAAGTTGCAGATCCTGTGGATTGTGGATGCATGCTGGCAGGCCATGGTGCAGAACAGACGCGGTGACATAATGTGACATATAGAGAGCAAATGAGAGCGTCTTGTGAAGAGATGATGATCATGGAGCTTAGGTTCCTCCTCAAAACCATCTGGTACCCGGTGCCTAAAGTCACTATTAGATTAAATCACTGCAGCTTGTCATTTTTGTGGGTGTCCCTCCAGGCAACAATATCGTTGAAATGGTGCGAATTCAAAACTCCGGCGGGGAGGGTGCCTTTCGGCTGATTGTGAACGAAGACGATCCGCCTGAGGACTATTTTTACGAGACCTTTCCCAACACGGACTTGAATTTGGTGGTGGGATCTTTTTCGGTTTCCCCTGCGTCGTTTTACATGGATGCCAATTCCAGCATGGATTTGCGGGTGCGCTTTGATGCCGACAAAGTTGGACATCACCGGTGCCCGTTGTTTGTTGAAGGTGACAATGGTGAAAGAACAGCGCTGAACATCGTGGCGGTGTGCGATGCCATTCGCTTGGAAATGGTTCGATGGCCCACTCTCCAAAAGGACCTGAAACCCATGATTTGTGAAGATGGCACATCTCCCTGGCAGTTGATTCCCTGGCGATTGGATTGGCTGAAGCCTGGGACCCAGGTGGGTCACATGGCCCAGCAACTAGGACTTGTCGAAGGTCGACTTGCTTTCCCGAAGGTCGACTTGCTTTCCCGAAGTATATTTGTATGATTGTTTATGTAGTTTAATTCCCCATTAGTTTATCCACCAAGCATGTAGCAATATGTATCATATATATACTAGCTAGCGAATTTGCGGGGACTTTTAGTGTTTTAAAGCTTCTTGAAGCTTCTAAGGGGGCTCTAAAAGCCAACAAGGCAGACGATAGAGATTGCCAACGGTGGTTTCATGCCAATGCGCGTGGATTGGGCTTTAGCCCAGCCCCCCCGGCAGTTCTCCGCCCGCCTGGCCGTGGGCTCGCTGAACCGCTTGTCGGATCGGCTGATCAGCGAGATCCACGACTGGAGCGTTCACCTGCCCAGGACGCACAGCTCTCCATCGTGTCCCTTCAGGGTGGAGCCATCCTCCACCACCATCAAGCCCTTTACCAGGCAAAAATTCACCTTCAGCTTTCATGCACATGGCCCTGTTGGCACCCAATCTTCCGTTTTTGCATATTTGGTGGCCAGAGAGTTGCCGGACAGCACGGCTTGCATCCTGCACTACAAAAAGCTGCTGGAATTGCAAAGTGAGATGCAGCCCGATGATAAATCTTATTCTGCTGCCTTGCCTCTCTTTGGAAGTATCGTCAGCCAGCCTTTTGACAGAAAGTTGAAACACAACGGCTGCACTGATCCTGTGGAATTGAAAGTGGCAGATCCAAAGGAAACTTCGGAGTTTTTTCTTTTTTTTTTTATTGTTCCCAATTTCTTTCTTAAAGGAATGTTGGAAGGTTGGGGCACACTCAGCACGCGAGATAGGCGAGACCCCTGCAGGACTGCGCGGTGAGCCGCGTGATTACTGCCGTTTCCTTGCAGGGTCGCAGCTGTGGACCCACCATCTCAGTGCTTCCGCGCGTCATCGCACTCCCTGGGGACGTGTTGCCCTTCATCCCAACAGTGCGGGAAATCAAGCTCCGCAACTCGGGGTACTATGCCTCCTATTTCCGGGTGAGATTGACCTCCACCATGCATGCAGCCGATGCCAACTCCATAGACCCCCTGTGGATTGTGTCGGTTCCAGAGGTGGGCGTCAAGCCGGAAGCTGCGGAGTCCAACCCACGGGTGGATCCCACGTTGGAGGAGATGAGGATGCAAGCCAGTCGCTTGGCCAAATCTTGGCCGCCGCTGCCACCGGAACCGGGGTTGCCTGGTGCCTCGCAGCTGCCGGGCTACGGAGCCTTGGCTTCCTGTGCTGTGGAACCACATGAGGGTCGCATCCCGCCGGGTGGTGTGGTGACCATTCGGGTGACCCTGCGAGCTGTGCACGAATGTGATTTGGATGGGCAGCTGGTGATTGATTTGCCGCTGAATGCTGAGTGCGCTGACCCGGCAGCTGCCCCGCTGAAGGTGTGCCTGCTGTTGACTTTGGTGGGACCAGATATTTCAAGATATCTTGACATGTGCAGAATCTTTTTCTAGATTGAAAGTGGTGCCAAACAAATCCAAACAATAGCCATATCATGGAGGTCCACTTTGGCCCCAGTGGGTCCCTTCTCCAATCCCGTCCAACCCCGTCGAACCAGTTTCAACTATCAGGTGGGGATTGCGGCAGCTGTCCGGTCGCCCCGGCCTGAAATTCGTAGCCGGGCGATTTTGGATTACGGCGTGGCCACTGGGCAGTAAGATGAAACGACTCATTTGGGAAGGCTTCCAGCAGGATAGGTGGTTGAATGATATGGAGTGGGGGAAGCTGCTGCCATGTTCAATAGGAATAAGATGGAATAAGACGATTTCTAAATCTCAATGAGCGCAATCAGCATCAATCAACACCATCAAAATTGTTGCATAGCTAGGTACTGCTAGGTGATGATGAATGTATTCACGTAGGTGCCAACATCGTCCAACATAATGATTCACACGTATGCTTTGTTATCATTATTGTTATTGTTGCTATTATATGGTATTATTATATGTATTATCATCATTGTCAATTGTTATAATTGTTAATATTACTTGTATCAGTAGAATTATGCTTATACTGTTTGCCAATATTTACTATACTGTATTTACTATTTTTTTCAGGTTTAGGATTTTCTAACTTACATTTCATGAAAAAGTTCACGTAGACAGACAGATGGATGGTTGCATCGATTCAATATGATTGAATCTGATTGAACACATATCTACAAAATTAATCAAAATTATATCCTGAGGCGCCATTCCATTCCCAGGCATTTTTCCGTGAACTGCATTCCTCCAGCGTCACTGTGTCACCTTCAGGTCCGAGCTCATGCGCGGCACAGCCTGAAGGTGGAGCTCAGCAACCCCACTGAAATGCCGATGCTGCTCCAGTTGCGGCAATTCAAGGCACCTGATTTGTTATGGGTGTTATGGTTAAGGCATGTTAAGGCATGTTACCGTAGTAAGTTCTTCATGACTCTTCATGGCTCAAGAATTTTCATCCATTTTCCAGGGCCTAAGACATGCCAGTTTTCACCAATTGCGGGGATTTAAGCAACAAACTGTTGATTTTATACAGCAAATTTGGTGACCGTAATTGTCACCAACAGCAAGTTAACCAACATGAAAGTGACAACATTTGATTTGGTTTCCAAAAGGCGATGGGAAGAGACCAAGAACAACGCACATTGCAACAAACAATCCCAATAACAATGGGCAATGAAACAACATAAGCAGATGCTTATGTGATCTATTGTGATCTTATGTGCAAGCAAGTGCAAGAGCCAAGTTCAGTGGAGCCCAAAGCTCCAGGACAATGCAAGGAACCACGAGTTTCCGGTGGAATCACACCGGGAGGTGGTGAATTTATTCTTGGAAGCTGTGAACAAGAAGTCCCGCGAGGGATATGCAGAGATAGCATCAGATCAATATGTCGAAATACCAGTGCAGCCCTGGGTACATTCCAAGAGTGGATGTTTGGACAAGAGCGGGCGACGGAAGTTTGGATCCAATCAGAAGCTTGCATGCAACTGTCATCAACTGTCTTGTCTTCATTTGTGGCTTCGTTTGAAGTGAAAGCGATTGAGGACTGGAGTCTGTTTTGTCATTTGGCAACCGCAACTCTGGCAGTGATTCAAGCCATCTCAGGTCTGGGGAAGTGGATGATTCGGTGTACGTGGGAGGAGTACCAGATGAAGAGGACTTGAACGGTCTGATGTGAGTTTATTGGAATATAAATATATTCGGAATATTTGGAATACCGTGCTGTGACAATCATGCAGAATACCGTGCTGTGACAATCATGCATCACGCGAAAGAGAGCTTGACAAAGATCGGAGATGTGGTTGGAAAGGTAGAAATCCTGGTAGGAGCTCCAAATTTGGATCATGTTGGGATGGTTGAACAGTAGAGAAGACTTTGGGGATCCATTGCCACTACATCGTTGGGCCACAGCCACATTGGGGTTCCTTGACAATAAGGACTCCCGATATCACCCAAATTAGTCATCCATTTTCAACCATACCCATTTACTCATTTCTGGTTGATAAAATCCTCTAAAACCATCATTGTGGTTGGTTGAATATGTTGAATCACAAAACCATGACTTGGAGTATGCGCCACTATCATTTTCCATGATCATTTCCCCACTTTATCATGGGGATCCACGAATCTTGAGACAAACAAATATTCATCATGGTATTGGTCAGATCCTCACTTTTGATGATTAAATCCTCATTGTGGCAGGTTGAACCCATACTCATACTCTTCATGGTTAAATCATGCTGAATCCCCATTTTTCCTGGGAAAAATTATGGACAACATGGTAACTGGCTGGTAAATCCGACATCGAAAACAGTCGAAAATGTCAGGACTTCGTCTTCCACCCAGGCTTCCTGGCGCTGTGGCCCGGGAAGACGGGTGAGGTGGAGGTGACGCTGCGGAGCCGTGGCGTGGGCAAGTACAGTGCGCTCTTGGAGGATGGATTGGATGGATTGGATGGATTGGGCATGACTTGGCGGAGTCGAAATTTGCAGGAAAAATCGCCTACGAATGGGGGACTGTTTATTTTTAGGGTTCCTTTTGATCTTTTGGGAATGTAGTATGGCTGTTGATGGATGAACATCGCACTGTGGCAGGCTGTGGGCTTCAATTCTCTGCACGCGCAGTGTTTGGAAGTGTTTGCTTCCGTGCAACTCCCGTTCCCCAGTCGCAACAGGAGTACGATGGATTATTTGATACTGGTGACAGTGGCAGCGAGAACAGTTTTAGGCTTTAGGGATGCGGCCCGTCAGAGTACGAAGCCGAGGCTTGTCCGGATCAACACACATCATGCCCCTCTGCAGCACTGAAGGATGCAACCGTTCATTATTCCGCCTTGCCTTGGGTGAATTTTCGTGCGACCCCCAAGTTGGTAGATGAACATCCCAACATAGTCCATGCCACTATCCGACCAGGGGAAGACGGGCAAGACAGTAAAACGAAACCTGACCTGCGCCCACCATCGCCCACCTTCGTTTGGCCTGCCGCAAGATTCTTCCCTTTGATTTGTCAATGATTGAAGCTTCCAAGGCGCACTTCCCGGTCACATATCTCAGGAGCGCTTCTCCCAACATAATGTGGATCTGTTGAAGCATGGTGGCCCTGGTGGCCCCAAGCAGGTTGGTCACTTGGTTCCCTGAAATGGACCATCAAATGGTCAAGCTTTGCAGATCCTAAGCGGAGATACACGCAGCAATGGCCACAGGACTGCGTCTGCACCCATGGAAGTCGAACTGCGCAATGAGTCGGAAATGCCTGCGAACTTCAACTGGAACATACCTGTGAACATGGAAGCATGCCACTTGGTGAGAAGATGTGAGAAGGTTGCCAGGTTGATCTCACTTCTGTCGCGATGTTTTGGGTCGCGGAAGTTGCTTGCAAGATCCAGTTACGCCATAAATTCAGGCAGCAAACGCGCCCAGAAGCCGAGGTTTGGAATGCCAAATTCAGCCAGTGCAGGCAGGATGTTGATGGCGCCGGAGGGGTGGCTTGGATCGGCTTGGCATCATATCACTTGTGCTATGCGTTGCCCCTGCCAGGGACATATTCCGCCCAGAGGAAGGCAGCTATGCACGGTGATTGCGGTGCCATCCAATCTGGTGGAAGACGGAGGTCCGCCGCATGCTGTTTTCTTATTGCTTTCTCCTGTTCGGCTTCAGTGTTCTCGGCATCTCACATTTTATCATAATTCAATATAATTCATCTAATTGGCGCGGAACATTTTCTCCGCGACAGGCAGAGCATGCTTGCCATGTCAGCTCTTTGTTGAAGAAATCCTGCAGCCCTTGGAGCTTCTCGGTGTGAAACTGCAATTGGCATAGGAAAGACCCAGCACTAGCTAGCATGTACTAGCTACCGGCAAGAATGTAGTAAAGAACATGAAGATTTTACTATGATTTGCTGATTTACGTGCCTGCTGTTCATGGTCCATTTTGCCACTAAGAACTTAACATGATTTACTAGGCCTCGGCTGCTATTGGCAGGTTGCGCGTCACTGCCGTGGTCTACGGATGTGAAGTGGACTATGCTGTGGTAGAGCCTGGTGATTTACCCCCAGAGATTGTGCTACAGCCCCGGCAGCCAGGGGAATCTGCCTGTGATCCCAGAGGGACCTACATGATCACCACAGGCCGTGCGCCTCGAAAAATGCCCATTGTGGACTTTGGGAATCTGCCACTACAAAAGGCCAAGGTGACGCATGTGGTGCTCTACAATCGAACGGGCATTGCCACGCCTTTCAGCTGCTGGGCTGATTTACACGGCGAACTGTTGAGATACCATGAGATACCGTGTCGCTTCCTGTAGTAAGATATACAATGATATACAAGTTACAAGATGTTACAAGTAGTAAGTAATCCTCGATGATTTGACCTTGTGGCCTCGTAGAACAGCAGCATCAGCAGCTACATAAATCGACATACAACGAACATCAGTGAACACAGGTCAGCGAGTGGTCAGCAGGTATCACTTGAGAGTCACGCACTCTTTCGGGACAAAGGATGACAAAGGATGACACAGGTTGACAAAGTCCATCCATGCCCATCCAATGTACCCAAAGGATCCCGCTTGAGTTGAGCCATAGCCACATGGATGGCACTGGGCTGAGGTGCAAAGATCGAGAAGAATCCGGCCTTTGATCCTCTGGTGAAGGGCAGAAAGATTGGTGACTACCTGGATGCGGCCACTCGCATGTATGCTCTCATCAATCAATCAGGCAGGGGCATGCTGGAGCCATTGCCTTTCAACATTAGTGGCATATAAAGGGATATATAACACATAAATATAAAATAATATAAATATAATCATAAATAAATAAATAAATAAATAAATACATTATATATATATATATGTATACATATGTATGTATATATATATATTTGTGGATCAGAATTGGGAGCCCAATGATTAGCCTGCAAGTTCGGTCATTCGGTCATGGAAGACTAGCTAATTTTTAGATGTTTTCATGGTAAGTTTTGGTAAATGATGTTCATCCAAGAATTTGATTGATTTCAACTTGTGGCCACATTTCCACGGGCTTTTGTGTAGTATGTCTCTGCACCTTACCAATGCATGCACACGGTGTGCACACCGGTTTTGTTAGGCGGTGCTGAACCCGATGAAGATACTCTCAAGCAGACCTTTGAAAGTTCGCCGCAGCCTGCTGGTGCCGGGAACGATGAAGATGGCAAGCCGCTTGACTCAGCGCGTACCGCAAAGCATCAAAATCTGCAAACGTTTGAATGGCATGCACCTTTGGCAACCACAGAGGGATGGGCAGGTCAAGCAGACAAGACAAGCTTGAGGGAGTGGTATGGTTCTGTGAGCATTTCTGACCGGCTGCAGGGTCAAAGTGAAGAAATTGAAGTCTCTCGGATGCAGCAGTTGGATGGAGTTGGATGCTGTTGGATGCAATTGGTCATTTGTTCCCTGAGATCCTTCATGATCCTTTCATTCTTTATATAGTGCTTCTTGGGGCGGATCTAGAGCCTACGGCTCCATTTGTCAGGAGCAGCTTGAATAAGACGAAGAAGACCAGCACCAAAAAGAAGAAGTGCTGCCATCATGTTAAATGATGGCCAGCGACGATACGGGTATTGAAAAATCTTGAGAACCAGGTTTTCATTCGATCCGTGGTTGCAGCTCGTGGATGATTGCCAGGTGGATTCTGGATGATAAGCATGAGCGTCAGGTGCGGGTTTTCATGGTTTTCAACGTTTGGGAATGGAATGCCCTCCAGATGTTTTCCGATCTCACCCATCATTTTTTTTTTCGCGGTGATTCTGCAGAGAAGATGCAACAGCAACCTGATTTATGATATTTATGCGGTGACACTGCCGACAGGCTTTCAGAAGCAGCTTTGGAGCCGATTTCGCCAAACAGAAAGAAATGAAAGAACAGGGAAGGGTCGGGACCCCAGCTGGCGCAGGCACACATGTATAAACCTTGTTTATCCTGGTTGAAATTTGGAAGTCCATGGCCCCTCACCTGTTTTCTTACCTGAACTTGTAAATGTTGTTCTCCATTACCCATTATCATTCTCGCTGTACTACGCGGCTATGCGCATTACTATATAATGGTTGTTAGATAGGATATGGCCGTAACCACCGCATTTGCAGATGGCCTTGAAAGCTGGCCGGGGTTTTGCCACTTGGCTGCAGCAACTGAACACCAGTGGAGGGGGCATGTGTTTCTGATGTGATTTTTATGATTGGGACATGGGAACTTTGAGGCAGTGAAGGTGAGTCCAACAAGCGATTGGCTTCAACCATTCAGCACCTCCTGCTGCACTGGCTGCTTTTTTTTTTGTCAGTTGGCATAGCTTACATCAAGAGTTTCCATCCGTTTCATGTTGGGCATCAGCAGGTACCGCCGTGCTCGCTCTGACCTCTTTCAGTGATCTGCCCGGGCTGATGGAAGACGACGCTTGGTGATTTGGGAATCCAGCCTGGCCTGGAAAATCCGGTGTCGTATTGACAGTCATTGACAAATTAGATTGCCAGCCCACAATCCCCCCCAGTTCGAACATTTTAGACGTATATTTGGAAGTGATATGACATGATATGATCGACTGCCACTGGATGGTGGCACATGATTTTGCATCATGTGACTCCCACCACAGATATGTGATCAGTCCATGTCAGTCTCAGGCTATCGCTGATCAGATTGTCAACTGACCGACCCATCATCTGTCTCATTGGATGTCTCCCAGAACTGATGGGAAAATTTGCAGGGAAGCCCTACAAATGGGTGGTAAAAAACCATAGTTTCCTGTTGAGTTTCCCTTCAATCCATCCATTGAATTACATTCTGTTGGACTGCACCAGAGCCAAGGAGCTGATTCTCACTCTGCGCGAGCTTCCTGGTCACGCTGATGGTGAAGTATTCCGGATTCCCCTGCGCCTGCAATCGATGCTCGGCTCTGACTCAGAAGAACCAGGGAGGGGCAAGATGCAAGATGATACAAAGTAGAAACTACCTATAAACTTATAAACATCTACGAGATTCTACAAGATAAATGCGACGGCTGGATTCTTGACAACCAGTTGGGCTGTCTGGGTTTGACTGACAGACTGACCATGGTCAGCCAATGTCAGCCACTCAAGGTATGGCAATCCCTTGTACCTTCCGGACCAGCAGGTGGGACTCAACACCTTGGCGCTACCTCCCAGGTGGGATCCTATTGCAGCCAGTTGTGTATTTTTGGATCCTTTTTTCCCCCGGCCCCTCAAGATTACAGAATTCCATCAGCTTCGTATGACCTTTCGAAAATTCAGAACCATGTTCTCTTTTGTTTGCGACTGAAATCCTTTGAACAGCTTTGACCGTTTTCCACGATAATCTCAGCTACGGAAGTCGTGTGCTCCGTGTGCTCTGGCAATGGCTGGCCTTCACCACATCTTCGACCAGGCTGAGCTGCGGCGTGACGGTGCCGGCGGAGAAGCAGCTGGTGCGCCGTTTCAAGGTGGGGAACAACTCAGCGGCACGCGTGGTGGTCAGCTGGAAGGCACTGAGCTGCTGGGAATGGGTTAGAATGGGATGCTGGGAAAAATGTAAAGCAATGGAACCAATTTTCAAACCTGTTTCAGGGTCCAGTGTCTGGGAAGGCGCGTGTACTCGAAGTGTAGAGTTGTGATGAGTTGTGCGTTTGAATGGATAGATCGGATATTTTTTGGGGTCAGTCAATTTGAATTCCACCACTTCAGGCATTTCCCAAGTCGCAGCTGGAGAACATGGCGGAAGATCGCAACATGATCCATGTGGCCCTTTGTGGCCGAAGTCCTGACATCAAGGATCCCTTCATCGTGGAGCCAAAGAAGGAAGACCCAAACAAGGCCGAAGAGCATCGAGCATCGAGCTGCGATGTGTGGGGAGAATCACCCCAAAATGATCTCCGAAATGGATCAAAATGACCCACAACCACTTTGGGCCAAAATTTGTAGTTCTTGCAGTGCTGAAATCTAATTTTGCGCCAACGACTACCAGCGGCCGCAGGATGTGCTTCAGCTCAAAGTGGAGGAAGAAAAACCGGTGGACGATGAGGAGCCTGACCCAGATGAACCTTTCAACTTTAAGATTTGGTCAGCACCACCTCCAGAACCCTGGATTTGCTGACATCTTTTGCCATGATTTTACAGTATATCATTTCCCGTTGTTGGCAAGTCCCTCATTTAGCAAATTTTGCCGTTTGAATCCATAATATCAATCACAAACAGCATCCATGTGGTAAAATTATGTATATATATATAAATTGATTGCAACTCAGGAAATCGAAGATCCATTTTCCCTCTCCGGCGGCCGCCTTCCAATGGTAATTGAGCCATCAGAAGCCATAGTCTCTTGGCAGAAGTAACAAAAGGAACTCATACGAACTCACAAGCTCCGAGTACTGGTGGAAAAGGGCAAGCTAATCTCAAGCAATTTCAAATGGCACAGGGGGCTTAATCCCCGATCTATTTGGGGATTACCATGGATTAATAATGATTACATTGGACTACCTATATGAGACTGTCATTTTGATACGTGTTTTGGGATGTTTTGGAACCCTCACATCACCATCGAATCCTTGCCAAGTTGACTGCCGAGGTCCCAGAGCATGGCACCGCCACTTTCACTGTGACCATGACCTGCATGAAAGCGACACTGACTGCGGCCAATAACTATCGCTATACCCTGATCGGAGACTGCCGCTGGACATATCCAGTTTACATCAGTTTAGAGTTTATATCAGTTTATTTACTTTTAATATCTTTTAAACTTTACATTTTGCATTTGCCTTTTTTACATTTACCTTTCCACCTGAACATACCTGAGCAAAGCAGGTAGTGGAAGATAATGGAAGTGTTGGAATCCTGGATGGTTGAAAGATTGAAGATAGGGAAGTTCCACTTCGATGCTTGTGGGTTGATGGAAGTGGTGTGAGGGTTCCCTCCATTTGAGTTCACTTGCCAGAATCGAACCCACACACAAACCTATGCACCATGATGGATTTGCTGGGTGGTTTCAAACTGTTTCAACATGTTTCAAACATTTGGATAGAAATAAATAAATAAATAAATATATATATACACATGTGTGTGTAATATATATATACGCATATATTTTGGCATTTCCATCATGTCCATCCCTATGGGAAAATATCGGACATGTGATCCCAATTAAATTGACTGACCACTATTCTTCAAAGAGGGGCTGGAAACATGTTGAAACATCTAGCAACCCTGGTATGTTTTTGTTTTGTTGGCCGGTTCCCAGTTCCCACCGGCCTTGCCATCCGTTGCAGTTGTTGCAGCGTTGCCGGTGAGGTCGCTTCACCGCAGACCGCGAGGAGCGCCTGGCCTTTGCGGAAACCAATCCGGACGAGGAGTACGATGACGTGGTGCCGCAGGAGGCATACGTTCCACGGCGAAGATGGGCGAAGTGGAGGGAAAGCATCGGAAGCGTAGATGTATCAGTTCCCGTTGTATCTTCGGGGTGGGAGCTTCAAAGACAGGGTGTACATGGATGTATATTAGCTCAAATAGTGTAGTGGACAAAACTGGAAAAAAGATGAACAAAACATGAATGACAACAGTGCCGAAGATGATTGGAATTTGTTTATATAGTCCTCGGGGGAGGGACGAACCGTTCCCAAGTTTAAAAAACTGTTTGAGAAACTCTTTGTGAAGGCTATGGAGAGAGAAATATAACTCTATCTACACTATCTATCTGTCTGTCTGTCTGCCTGCCTGCCTGCCTGCCTGCCTGTCTGCCTGCCTGCCTGTCTGTCTGTCTGTCTGTCTTTTATCTATGTATGGTATGGTATGGTATGGTATGCTATGCTATGCTATTGTATGGTATGGTATGGCATGGTATGGTATCTAATGTTATGCAATGCAATGCAATATAATTATGTAAATGTAATGTATGTATGTACATATAGATATATGATATATGACAAATAAATATGTACATATATGATATATATATATATGTATATCAATATATATATATATTATCTATCGCCTATATGCACATAGATATATCATATTGTGCCTGTCATTCATATACTTCATGACTTCCCATCAGATTGTCTTGCAGCAACTTTCAAACGTTCGCTGTTTTGACTAAGGTGGCCCCCTCTCAAGATGAGCAGGTGAAAGCCCTGCCGGACATCGAGCTGGACGGAGAGACTCTGGTGGACGACGACTCGGACATGGAGGAAACCGCGCAAGAAAAGAAGGAACATGCCATTGAGGCTCAGAAGAGCAGAATTCACTGCACATTTAGGGCCTCACAGTGTTTATGATGGGTAGGATCGGGAGAATCATCTCAAAAACATAGTTCATTTTTGGTTTGGGATGGTTTGGGAATTATTTGGGTTGGATTTGGAGGTCTGATTAGGGCCCAACATTGGGGATTTTTAACGGTTTTGAGGCGGGATGTGTGTTGGGATGCAGGAGGATTTCAGCAGCAACCGTCCGTGTTTGGCAGGTGCCCCCGCCCATGGAAGCCACCAAAAAGCAGAAACCCAAAAGAACCTTGGCACCTCCGCCTCAGCCACTGGCAGTGGAACCTTGGTTACCTTGGATCCGCTTTCTGCATCTTTCTGCTGTTCAGCAAGCTACCGTGCTGAATGCTGAATGTCATTAGTCTTTTCCTTGAATCCTTTGGCAAGAATCTCCAAAAGCACGTCCTAGAGGTGCATTCATAATGTGACTGATGTGCGTACTGAGGAGCCTCAGCTGGATGTGCTTGCAACCATTGTCATCGATTGCGTTGGTGATTGCGTTTTGCCACGCTTGACGGTGGACAAGAAGGGCAATCCGGATGTTGAGGAATTCCCTGCACAGAACAAGGATGGCCCAAACGCGAAACGCTTATAAATCGGACAGATGCAACTGCAGCGAGGGTGTCAGGCATTTGCTTTCTGATACTGACCTGAAGCAAGAAGAAAACCAAGAAGCTGCCTCTTGTGAAGTGGGGTTTAAACCCAAATATATAATACCAAATCTATCCAAATCTGGCAGCATCAAATTATCCAAACACAGTTGGCGCCCCACATGACCCAGCACAACACAATATAAGACAGAAAAAACCTGATCACTGGGCATCTGAAGATACCTAAAGCATCAGTTGGCCAGGAGCAGGATGACATTGGTTCCTCCACCGAGCCGCCCGTCTTGAACGCCCCAGTCTTCAAGTTCACCTGGCCAGCCATGCAGCAGGATGGCCCCAACAGTGGCACCGGCGTTGTGCAGGGAGGTGCTGCGGGTGGACAGCAAGCACCTGGCATCACGCTGTGTCAGGTGCGTCAGATCAGCTTCTCCAACGACAACGCGTCCAAGGTCACGTGCCGCTTCAGAACCGATGGACCCTTCAAGATCCAACTGATTCAGCAACCAGGACATCATCCGGTGCAGAACAGCCGCCCAGTGGGCTCTAAGTCACGAAAACAGGAGGAGGATGAGATCAAGGGGAGGCTCTTCGTGCTGTCAAAGTGGGAAACCATCACTCTGCATGTGGCCTTCATTCCTGAGCAAATCCCTGCTTCTGAGTGGCACCACTATCTCACTCGCCATGAGCATGTCTTCAAAGGCGATTTGATTGTGGAGTATCCTCGCGAGACATCTGGCGAAAGCACCACGCATAAGGATGCGTTGGTTCCGAAACAATGCCACACATTCCAAAATCACATTATTGTTTGCCAAGTTCTCGTTTTTTTGACGGGCTTGCCATGCTATCCTGCCATTTGTTTTCTCAAACAATTGTCATATTTTTGAATGTCTGCCGCCATGTGCAGGATGATCTGCAGCGGATACATTTGGTGGGCACTGCGCGTCGCCCTGCAGTGCGAATCCACTTGGTGCCCAACGAGTTTGACCGTCCGTTGCGCCTGGAAAGGGCTGAGAGGCCGCCGTGGTCCGAACCCATGCCACTGATGGTGGAGTTTGGCTACACCCACATCACCAGTTCAGTGACACGTTCGCGAACTGTCCTGATTTCCAACGTCACCAACATGTTGGCCAAATGGTCCCTAGCACACGTGGGTCGCAAGCGACGCGCAGCACCCATCATTGGGTCCACTCTGCCAGAGGAGGAGGAGTTCCGAGCGCTGGATGACAAAGATGCCTTTGAGTTCGAGATCAGTGGTGGGGAGCTCCCAGGACGACGGGGATTTCAGCCCAGAAACCCTAGATGCAACCGGGAAGTCATAGGTTTAAGAAGTCTGTTGAGACTGGAAACGGTTTCGCAGGAAGATTAGAATTAGAAGATGGGAAGATGGCCGACACGGTATTGGTTTAGGATATGCGAATATACAAGCCAAACACATGGGGATGAACTGGCGACGTTCATCCACAATTTTACACCTTAAACTTAAACCAAACTAGTCTAGTGAATTACAACATATTACAACCCAGTTTTTGTTCTTTCATGCATCCTTTCCGAAAAAAAATGGATCCTGTTTATAGAATGATCGTAGAATCGTATTTTATACCCCCTCCCCCTCCCTTCCCTGTTCCATCGTTTGGTTTTTGCAGCCTGCCACTCAACCAAAGGTGAACCGTTGGTTTGGGCCCCAGCAGTTTGAACTCCTGGGTGGTTTCAAGTTTCCGCTATTTCTGGGGGGTTTGAGAACGACCGTAACCATCCACAAGATACACAAGTTTGCCTGAGTCTGCCTTAGTTGGTCGTTAATTAGCGACATGTTTCAATTGTTCCCAATCCCAATCCCATGTTTCAATACGAACCACTCGTTTTAGCCATGGATTTTTCCATGGCTCAAGACCACCCTATGTCTGTTTTCCCAGGGATTTTCCGGGGGCCCTTCACTGCCGTAACCTGCCGCAGCGCCAGGACCTTCCAAAGATGGCTTGGTCCCAGGCTCCGAGGAGCGGCTGCCCCACTGGTGCGCCAAGAGCTCGGCCGTGCCCAGGCTGCCGGCCTTTGAGGATGACGAGCGCTTCGAGCCGCAGAGGGTCGCGGCGGTTGGGGTTGGGGGTTGATGTTGAGACATGGGGCGAAACATGTTGAAACATCATAATTATAGAGCAATATGTGAGATAATCATAGATAATTGAGATATAACATATATGATAAAAAACTCATAAATGATACAAAAGGATGCAAAAGGGAAATCGAATGAAATCCACAGGTTCATGGAGATTGCAGATGATTGCAGTACAACTAGTTATAGACTTGCAGAGTGATATGGCTGGCATAAACTTAGATGAGAATGGACAGTTGGATTGAGCCGACAAAGGAATGGACCGAATACAAAAGGTTCGGGGTTACAGAAATAGATGGTGGGTGATCCCAGATGTGCTGCATACAGTGTTCCATCCAAATACGGATGATCCCAACTGTAACTGCCTCTCACTTTGCCCAGCAGGTGAAGATCTCCTTCCGGCCGAAGAAGAATGAGCTATACAAGTGCCGTTTCCGGGTGCAAGTTGAGAGTGGTCTGAGTGTCGACTTCATTTGTCGTGGGTGTGGTAGCTATGATGAGGAAGATGACAGCTTGGACTTCCATGAGGCATGAAAGCCATAGTAGTATTCAACGTATTCCAAATGCCCAGGTGTTCCCACCCCCTAGTAACAGAAACCTGCATATAGGAGACCAACATGAACAGATCTAAACCATGGTTTCTGGGGGAGTGCTTAATTGAGGGGCGGGCAGTAGTATATAGTGTTTGCAATGTTTCACCAGCAGCCAGATGTTTCACCTGTAAAATGCCGATGTTTCATCTACCATTTGTGCCTGCAAAACCGCAGGCAAAAAAAGTGAGCACATATGACAGGCGTTTGCATGAAATTGGTGCGGCTTCCTGGTTAATGCTTTGATCATGACCCTTTTACATAGTCACTTAGTCTTTTCTTCACAATGGATGCCCAACCTCAAGCAATCTCATATAGACGCTGAGAAGTGTCGTTGAAACATGTTCCAAGAGCAGTGAAAACTGCCTCAGTTAACCACATTACATATTATATCATATCATGAATGCTGATGTGACAATCAGCAGAGGCCCTATTCCGCTGCCTTTCTGTGCCAAGACCTGGACCACAGAGGCATCCGCCTGGTCCTGGTCAGCAATGAAGTGCTTCCTTGTGCTCATCCTGGGGGTTTCCTCCGTTTCCTCCGTTTCCTCCACCCGTCTCCAGCGAGGCCACATCTCTTGCCCCAGTGGCCAGCCCTGCCGATGCGACTGCGCCATGGCGGCCTTGGCGCAGCTGACGTCAGAGCCGGAGTTGCTGCCCCCGGTGGCACCCCCGCCACTGCCGCCAATGCCTCCAGCGGCGCTGCCGCCTATGCCCACCTACACCCGGATGACCGAAGCTGATTTGCCCACCTTGGGGCCCCCGCCGCCCACCACCACTATGTCGACAACGCTGCGACCGCCTCCGGGGCTCTTTGCAGCTGGTGGGAATCCTGCACAGATGCAAGCGGATATTATGAATGGAGGATTTGATCATCACTTTCAGTATGTGCCAGGCCGCTGACGTGGTTTACAGTTGTACTTGCTCCAGGTTACCACTGCTAATGTTGAATGATAGGAAGATTTGATATTCCATGATACACCCGCCTGTATGCACCCACCTGTATGGCTTCGCCCGTACTGTAAATCAATGGGCCATCGGGTATATATTATACACATTGGGATTTTTGGGTGCTCCATTTTTGGGTGCCGCCCGAGTTTCCTTTTTTGCCCACAGCAACCTTGTTGAGGCAGCGGCTTCTTCAACAAGAACACGGGCCGCTTCCAGATGACAGCGCAACCCATGGCCGGCCCAGGCATGGCCATGCCTGGCATGGCACCTGGAATGGCCATGCCGGGAGCAGGGCCTCCCTTGCAGTTGATTTCTATGGCAGAAACACAGGAGCCAGGGGATGGTCAGGGGATCGTCGAAATGGAATTCAAGGCACACTCTTGTCAAAAACCTCCACGATTATCGTTTTCATTTAAATTTTCCTTGAACATCCTTGAACATAAATAACTTTAAATCAACCCAATGATTTCATGATTGCATCATGACTGAGCTTTTGTAAGGAGGGCTCACGACACCTGAGAGCGCGACAGGGACAGAGCTGTGAGTGCGACCAGTGAGGCCTGCGCTCATCTCGATTTCAATTGAGCAGTGACCATAGTGACCATTCAACAAATCTCAGGATGATCCAAGACGATCCGTTTATGTGGTAGATCCGCACCAGGTCACACCTTCGGTGGCCAGAAGTTTTCTGGGAGTTTCATTTTCATCCATCTTCGGAATTTGGTAACTGCCCAATTGCAGTGAATGCTTGGAGCTCCAATGTGCTCTGAAAACAAATCTTGAACTGTGTGTGGTGGGGTGGTGGGAGGAGGTGGGGCAAGGCACATGTGAAAACACACAGCGAAGTGGAGACATTCTGTGAAGCATAACAGTGGAACTAACCACACAACACAACTGAGATAATTGCGGAGCTACGGGACAGAACCGCTTCAGACCGGGGAACCATAAACAGCCTAGTCTCACCCACAATCACCATCGGCATTTGTTTGACCAGAATGGCTGTGGGTCAGGAGAGCAGCCGGCCAAGACATTCTGGTATATTCTGCTGTTGACGAAAAAGTGTACACGTGTGTGTGTGTGTGTAACATCTGAACAGATGTAAAACTTCTATTGCTCTAATCTTTTCACATTTGCAGGGGGCCAGGAACCCATGACTGTCTGTCCTGGCCAACGAAGACCAGACAGCATGGGGGTGAAAACGTACCTGCAAGTTTTTGAACTGTTGATCAAGCTGTTACACTGCGTTGTTTCGAACCTACACGGTTGCCACAATCTGTATTGCCTGCATCAGAACCTTCCTCAGTTTTTCGCCGAAACCATGTCGCCGACGGTATTTTGATTTTTTGAATTATTTCGCCGAGATCATGTCGCCGATGTACCTTTGATTATTTTGGGAATCCATCGCCGAAACATTAATTTTGGGATTTTCAACATGCTGGTCAAACTTTGTGAATTCTGGTTTAAACTCCGTCGGACAATGTTGGATGCTCTACATCGTTTTTGAGAAGTACTTCAAGGGGCTCTACTGTAAATCTAACGATCTAGGCTGGTTTGCACGTTTCAGGATTCAGTTCCTGACGGATCATATAATGATCCATTCTTGTCTAGTGTGATTTCCATGGTGGCTCCGACATGGTGCCATGGAGCCATTTGAGGCAACCCTCTTCAGGGTGAGTGTCGACAGTCTGGAATTCTGAATTCACACATTTTAACTTAGTAATTCGTTTAAGTAAAGGGCAACAATCAGCCTTGCGGTTCATCAGCCTTTTCAAGTGTCCCGCTGCTCCTGCGGTCCCATGAGAACCTTGAGTGATGCATTCTTCACAGAGAGAAGTCATGCGGAACAACCAGAAACGCTCTTTTTTCGATCACTACAGCTCAAGCTTTGGAAGTGAAACATGCCCATGTGAAGAGCTACAGGCAGGCACACGACCTTCAGGTGTGGTAATTCTTTCTTTTGATGGTTGTCTGGTGAGGTTAAACATTTTGTGCATCTAATTCGATGGAACTTGACAGCTGTTTTATGCCAATTGGGGCATGACTTGACCACGGTCCCGGTGCAGGGAATAATCGCACGAACAGTAGGTCTAGGAACTGAGTCCTGTGTGTGAATTTTCAGTATTTTTCTTGAGCGATGTACCCGTGGACCACTCCTCCGACGTCATGGCCTGCTCCACCGCAGCCTACGACTCCATCCTCGACGTGGCCGCAATCATCGCAGAACGCACATCTATTTGGACATCCCTCGCCATTGCATCCTACATGGTCTTCCTCAGCTTCGCTCGTGCCGTCTGCATCAGCCCCAACATCGCTGCCATTTACCTCATTGACTTCGACTCCTCATGCAGTACCAGGCCCACAACTTGTGCCCACCATGCCCACACCTGTGGCTCCTGAAACCACTTTGGTGCACACCGCTCCACCGACTTTTTCTACTCCTACGGCACCCACCGCTCCACCCACATGGCATTCTCCTCCGGCTTCCTCACCTACATCGACTACACCACCAACACCTTTGCAGAGCTCTCCATACCCACCTCACCACATTCAACCTCCACTACCGACTGAAGCATCGATGGTCCCTCCAGGTGAACCTCTACCACCAGCAGTTAAGGCTGCCCCAAGGCTTCGCTCCGACAAGAAAACGGACAAACCACGTCGGTCAGCTCCGAAAGCCTCTCCCCCTGCTACACCACCGGCACCTACGGCAGCACCGTCTCCATCCGTTTCACCTGAACTTGCAGCGCTGGGCTCCACTACACAGCAACTTGCGGAATCGGTTCGGCTTATTCAAGCTCAACAACAATTGATCCTGGATTCTCGACGAGCCCAAGAACAACGTCAGCTTCTCCTCCAACACGATGGACCTACACCGAACCCCATTCCACCGACACCATTACCCACAGCAGCACCACCACCTATTGCCATGCCTCCACCTGCACCGAAAGCCAGACCCACCGAACCTGACGTTCCGGACCCTCGCATCATCTCAGCTCCAGCCATCGCTCCTCCTCACCACCTACATGCTTCACCATCGCCAACGCACAGACCACGATCCAGGACTCCAAGATCACGTTCCCGTCGACCTTCTGTACAATCACATCATCATCGCTATTCTCCCCAACGTGCGGTACGACCTCGTTCTCCTCTTCCTCGTTTTCGGTCATCTACGAAACACGCCAAGGACCGCAGAACTCCTTCTCCATACAGACGAAGATCACCGCCAAGACGCCGCTCTCCCGTGGTTCCTCGACGTCATCGATCTCACCCAAGAACACGTTCCGAAACACCACGTCACCGATCCAGAGGCCGTGAAGTCGTACTTCGACCAGCTGCACACCCATCCAATCCGGCCTACATCCCCACTCCCGATGCTGATGACACCTGGGGCGCATGGAACAACAGCCACTACACCGACAACTACCATCACAACACTACTCGACCCAACTCTCCTGCCGATCCACCGCCACCTGAACCATCTACCAACCCACCATCCCACACTACAGCACCACTTGGAGCTGTGTCCTTCCGCGTCCCCGACGGTGACAGTGAAAATTCTGAGGTGACAGATGCAATTTCGATCTCAAAATTCGACACGAATGACATCGACCTCAGTGAAATGGTTAAGGCTGCCAATGATCCCCTTAGGGTCCGCTGCTTGACTGAGCTTGACCCCAACCATACAGTGCCCCTACGCCAATCCTTGACCCCGGCCACCTTGCAGCTCTTCAACCAATTCGTTGACGAGATGTTCCACCAGTTGGCTCAACCATATCGCACCGTCAACAACCAACGTATTTATATCAAAGCAAGCCAAGCCACCGTCAAGAACATTGCCAGGGCCTTTGCACAATCCAACTTACTGGACATCGAGCTTGCGAGGCAAACCAAAGCATTTTACATCGAGCCAGAGAACCTGCTGACCATCACGGTCCCCACGGGATTGAAAAAGAAACCGATCTATCGTGGCGAGCACATGGGCACCTACCTGATTTACCACAAAACGAGTTGGGAAACAGTTGCCAAAATCCTCGCGGAAGACTGCATTCGCCCGGCAACTTGGACAAAAAACGCAGCCGGCTACCCGACTCAATACCCATGCTACGGGTTCTTCGGCATGTCCTCTGAGATCGCTGACATTGACACTCTGCCAGGCTATGCTGTCAAAATATGTACATCTCAGCTCTACCGCATAGGGAAAGGACAAAACCCATCTGGCCTACTGGCCATTTGTCGCTCACCCAAATGCATCCGAGCCCTATCTGGAGGAAATGACCAAATTCAACGCTTGTGCAACCTCGCGGGCATCGCCAAGGGCAAAGACAATGCAACGGCTATGAACTCCAGCGCCGCATCCATATGCTATGTTGCCTCTACTCATTCGGTTTTCCCGGGCTTAATCACACACCAGGCAGCGGAGACAAATCCACCAACTGAACCTCCAGATGATCATGCACGTCCAGCACGACCTGACCCTTCTGCCGACACACCAGCACCTTCGGACCCACCCCCAGACGACTCTCGAGACACAACCGGCCACCACGAGACCACCGAATCTGCCTCTCGAGATCATGCTCGCCGACCTTGGCACGACAATGCTTCTTGGGACAACTCAACCTACAGCCGTCGAGATCGCCGATCCTCCCATCACGAAGGCCATTCTCGAGACCAGCACCGTGAAGGCCAACCTCGTTCTCGACACTCGACATACCACCACTCCAGATCTCGCTGGTGAACACTTTACCTTTGAGGAGTACCGGAACAAGTGTCGACTATTCTACGACAGCGATCCAGTGAGCCTAGTGGCCCTGCCCGATCTTTTTGGAGTAACAATGCTTCTCCCGACATTCGGTATTGATGCCACTTCTTCCCTCAAAAGGTTTGTGAATTGCTGCATGCTCATGATATTTGAACCTTGCGTCAGCTTCGTATTTCACTTCACGTTTCACACACAGGGACCACGTATCATGTTTCACACCGTTTCAATCGCACGCCATCGTCATCTCACCTTGACACTCACCGCAGCTTTCAGTCGGCCGATCGAGCTTATTTTGACCTATTATCTCGTGGCCCCCGTCTACATCATGGCATCCCAGGACCTGATCTCCCAGTTCAGCTCTGACGTGAACGGAATTCCTCCTTCCCAGCCGGATCGCTCTCGCACACCTCCTCGTCATCAACATGGCTGGCACCAAGCAGTACCTGTGTTCCGTGGCCCGATGCACTATGCAATGACGACCCATCGACCTTTTTGGAGTCCGTCCGGGATACCGCCTCCGCCACCTACATCTACATCGTTCCCAACACGCCCACCATGGACTCCATCTACGGCACCTTTCCCACCTACACCGCCTACGTTTTCCCAGACACCTCCCAACAACGCCAATTTTGCACCTCAACGTCATCCTTTCACACCGAGATCGCCGAGGCCTATGTCATCTCCGGGAGCAAGCTCTACTGTCAACGAAGGGTATACATGCCGACCAATTGAAATCCCACCGGTGCACCAATGGAAACCTGATGTCGACTTCCACGACTCCAACAAGATCAATGGTCTGGATTTCCCCTCCAGAATCCGACAGAGCCGGTTTTCAAGCTACAAAGACATTGAAGGTATGGATCCTTTACAAGTCCCACTCTGGAAGTTCTTGTACCAGGGCTTACACAACACCTGGCTCCGTCGTGTTGCATACGGACGAGAAACCTTCGGCCTTCCTTTTGACAACATAGGCACTACAGTATTTGTGGCTGAATTGATATCACAAC